ATATGTGCTAGCTCTTAAATTTGTTAGTTGTATGTTTGCAAACTGGGCCCCACAGTTTTGGAACTAGCATTTATCACAATCTTTAATTTTTAGTTTTCAATCTTTATATAAAAATTGATAATTTGGATGGTTACTTTATAGCCACTATCATATGATTTTAGTGCCTTTGTTTTCAAAGAATTTTCCTTAGTTGTTTAGCTTGTAGATTGTTTAAGGTTGGGTTTCTAGGGTCTGTAAAGTCTTTATTTGAGAGTAAGTTGTTTCTGAGAAAAATTGGCCTTAAACTTGCATACTAATGAATTAGGAGAATAAACTTTTTGTTGTTGTTGTTGTTTTTCCGGTACTGGGAATCAAACTTACGACCTCGTGCTTGCCAGGCAGGCACTGTGCCACTGAGCTAAATCCCCAGCCCCTTAAACTTTTTAAATTGTATTGCCAGTATATACTTTATTTGTGTTTATCGCTGGTCTCCAATACTCAACTTTCTGGCACGTTTTTATTTCTCATTTGGAAGTTATTACTTATAAAATATCTGATTAATTCCATTACTATTACAGCTTAATAGGAAAATAGAGATTATCTACATAGAAAGCATATAATTTGTAGATTGTTTACACTTTGAAGTAGTTACCGATGCTGCATTCTGTCACTAAAAATCTGAAGTTAAATAACTTACGTTTTGGCCATGCAGTTTTTTTAAACCAACATAAAAGTATTTTTCTCTCCGTATAGAGACGATAAAATTAATTAAAAGCTTTTCTTTTGTTATTTACAAATGTCATTTAGAGTGGTATCTGGAAAGTTGCTCTAATACGGATTGGGATTTTCTTTTTTGGCCACTAAAGCTATTGCAGCTTTAGCAAAAACTATTTTCATAGTCTCTAGCCATGTTCGAGGCACTGTAAACAAATCCAGTCTGCGGTCAGGCATATGACTTCTCAGTGCATTCACACAGTCTCATTAGATGATCCTGAAAATGTGGGGTGTAGACTTTAGAAATTAATACCCTGTGCTCACTGCCCCTGTGCACTCTTTGAAAGGTTAGCGTGCAGTTGTGTTGCTGTGAGATAGACACTGTAATTGCCGTGACTTTATAGATGAGAAAACCAAGCCTAATGTTGTGACTGTGGGGTCTCCAGGGTTCTTAGCAAAGCCCAGCCCTGGCACATGTAGCTTATCTCTTCTAGAGACTTGAGATTGCTCTAGAAATTCTTCCTCTTTCTCTCCTGTTTCATCAGTTTTTCCTTTTGACTGGATTATTCCTGTTGGCATGGAAACATGTTTCTTCATAAGAAGCACCAAACCACAGAAAAATGAAGCAATACAAGGCCCTGTCTTGGTCCCATTTCCCTTCTAGTGTTGTCCTATTTCTTTCCTTTCTACTAGTGCAAAACTCCTTTTAAGTGAGTATATTTATTATTTCTAACTATTCTAACTATTTCTAACTGTTTTCTTTCTTTTTCTATTTATTTACTTTTTTGAGATAGGATCTCACTATGTAGTCAGGCTGGCCTTGAACTCATGTAGCCCAGGCTGGTCTCTAATTCCTGGCAGTCCTCCTGCCTCAGCTCCTGAGTGCTAGGATTACAGGCATGCACCACCATGCCTGGCTGTTTTTATTTTTTTTATTTTTGTTTTTTTTCTGGTACCAGGAATCGAACTCATGATGTCGTGCTTGCCAGGCAGGCACTGTGCCGCTGAGCTAAATCCCCAGCCCCTGTTTGTAATTTCTTTGAGACAGGGTCTTACTGTGTTTCTCAGGCTAGCCTTGAAGTTGAGATCCTTCTGCCTCAGCCTCCCAGGTGCTGGGATTTCAGGCCTGCACCACCATGTCCAGCTTCTCCTTTTCTCTTGAATCTATTCCATTAGGTTTTACCGCCACTCCAAGCTTGCTTTTTACCAACGTCACTAGTGATCTTATTGGAGAACAGTTTGAGGGGATGTGGAGATACACAGGAAAATGATGGGAGGATGCTTGTAATAACAAAAGCCTGGAAACAGAAATACCCATTAATCAGTTGTACTTCTGTGTAATGGATCATTATGCATCTGTCAAAAAGAATGGGGAAGTAGCTCATTTTGGCCAGAGGTTAAGTCATTCATTATTGACTTAATATTTAACTTATGTTTATTTAATTTACAATTCAGTGACTGTAAAGATACAGGGAGGGGAAGCCCTCAGTTTCTCCTGCTACCACAACACTCCCTTGGTGACTGCTGGTCACCAGTCTGTGGGACTTTCTTGCCACCAGCAAGCAAGAAACTGCAGGTGATTGTCTTGCAGACAGAAGCTGGTGTCTTCCATTCAGTTCAGCCCTGACCATATCTGGAGATAGTGTCAGATCCCGTGGGTTGAGGGCTCACTCCACAAGAAGGCTCACTCTACAAGGTGGCTTCACTTCAGAAGTTGGTGAAGCACTGACTGGCTGTGCCTCTGACCAGCCACTATCAGTCAGGTTCCGGAGACTGCTCCTTGGGTCTGATTGATTTGCTAGAGCAGCGCCCAGAACTAAGGGGACACTTACATTTACCCTTTAACTGTAAAGGACATTACAAAGGAGTCATGGACAATCAGGGGGAAGGTAAGGAATGGGAGAAGGGGTGGCATAGAGCTTTGAAATCCTCTGTGGGTGTGCTACTCTCTAGGAACCTCTTTGCTGTGATTCCAAGGATTTTAGGGGCTATGTGGTAGGAAATGCGGTGAAGACCAAATATATATTGTATAGCATCCCAGTGCCTCTCAGTATTTATATGTATCGATTGAAGTTTAAAGGCTTGTGATACCTATTTTAACCTCCTATGTTGTATTTGGTTGCTTATCGTGAGAATTTGTACTTACACATTTTAGGAATGGTACACTCAAATTGCTTCCAGGAGAAGATAGATTATACCCAACAGTTAAATATTGTAGAAGGATGACCCCTTTCCCCTGGTCTTTGGGTATAAGGATCCTCAAACCACAGATCTTACTCAGTATGACACTTTCTATTGTGACTATTTTTAATATATGACCACTTTTTAGCCATGTTATATATATATATTATCTGTTTAAAAATTTTTAAAGTTGTGACTTGGGACTTGGAATTAGATTTTTTGATTTAACAATTGATACAGCTAATATCGAATTATTTTAGTAGAATTCAAGGAATATTTGTGCTATGAGCAAGCTATGCCACTAACAGACCAGGTATATTTGTGTCTTTTCAGAGTGTTATGCATAAATTCACAAGCTGCGGCAATTTCCTCAGCCTTATCAGGCTGGGGACTGAAGGTTGACCTGATAGCCAGTGAGCCAGGCAGTTGCGGGTTCTTTTATTTCCGTCTTAACTGTCAATATCTGTGACACTCAAGTCACACATCACACTTCACACAGTAATGCCCAGGTTACAGAACGGCAAGGAAAGGGTTAACAGTGGCTGTAGGACTTGAGGAGAAGAACTGATGCCAAGGCTGAGGGTCTGCAGGGGTGCAGGGTGTTACCAGATGGCCAGACCAGATTGCTGACTGGGCGAGCTGCTCTGAGGAGGCCCGGGGCTGGTCAGGAGCGCAGCTGGTCAGAGCCTGAGTCTGGACAGGCCGTTGGGAAGGGCTCAGTGAAGCAGGGATATGGGGCAGAGCTGAAGCCGAGGGACGGAGAGCTGGAGTTCATGGCCTGCCGACCTCATGACGCATTCCCCAGATGGTCTGATGAGATGACAGGTCAAGATGGCACTGCCAGTCCCCAGTGCTAGATCCCGCCCTCCGATAAGGTCCAGGCGAGGGAGTTGTACTGTTGGTTCTGATGTATTCGACAAGTGCCCTGGCCTGGTTCTCTCTGATGTAACTTAGGTACCTCATGTGGCCATGCGACCTTGATTTAATTTGATAAGTTTACAGGTGGCAATTTTATATTACTGAGATAAATTTATCATTTCTGTCTGTGCTGTGTAGCTGGGAGGTTTTTTTTTCCCCTATAAGTTTGATATGTCCAACTTCCAGTGATTATTTGTTTGCCCAGGCAGGTTACCAGGTTATCCTGTGAAAGCTTTGCACTCAACATGTAGCAAACTGCTGTTGTATAAAATGGAGTCACTCAGTGCAAGGCACAGCCTAAAAGCTGCTCTTCAGTACAGCACGGAGTAACTCCCAGCAGCGTGTAGCTGGCTCAGTACTGCATGTGAGCCTTACGGGGACTAACATAATGTTGCAATTCTAAGTAATGCTAACAGCAAACACGGGCAGATTTTATTAAGTATGAAATAGGACAGCCAATCAGAACATATTTTATATTTTGAGTTGCATATAGAGATGGCAGCTGAATCTCTGTGCACTTGTGATGATTTTTCTTTTTTTTGTTTTGTTTTGGTTTTTTTTACTGATCTTTAACTCACAATGATCCTCCTGCTACAGCCTCCTGAGTGCTGGGACTATAGGCATGCACCACCATCCCAGGCTTCATTTTTCTTTAGTCTTGTGTTTTTGAAAATGTGTGAAGGTATTTATGAGAGTGACAGGAACAATAGAAACTAGAATAGTTACCTGAAGTTGTAACTGAATCCAAATGGCTGTAGAATTAAACCAATACATTGTTGTGAATTGTTACTAAGGAAATCTTATGTATACACATTTAGGTTAAAAATACTGACAAAACAATACAAACTAACTGATGATCTTAAAATTTTGTACTGTGATTGACTATAAATAAAAGGCCAGCCATGTTCTCATTTGTGTAATGTTGAGCGTTTTAATGGTAGTCATACATGCATTGCATTACAACTGAAGACATTTCTAATATACAATTTTGCCAACTTTTTGAAATATGGTAATTAGCTGTGTTTTATTGTAGATATGCTGCTGTTTTCTGAGCTCTTAAATATCTTAAGTGGGGCTTTGAAAAGCCAACATTCTTAAATTATATGTCAGTTTTCTGCTTCTTTGTCCCTAAAGGGAGTTGTGTTTTTTCCAACTTTAAATTTGTATAATTAGAGAAGTTCAATTCTTTTCTTTATTCCATTTCTCAGTTGACGAAGGATCAGAGATTGGTGTATTCGGGCAGACTGCTTCCCGATCATCTGCAGCTGAAAGATATTCTCAGAAAAGTAAGCTTTTCTTCCACTTTCTGCAACCAGATACATAGTCAGAGTATGAGCAATGTGTTTCTGAAGTCTTATCCGGCTAGTCCAGTATTTACTTAAGGTCAACTCTTTTGGGTAACATAAAGCAGGTAAAAATAAGTTACAAAGTAAATGGTCTGATGAATTTCTAATTAGTTCAGGTAACAGTTATATATTTATCTGATAGCTGAATCTGAAATAGGATTATATATTTGTACCCAGATATTTGTTATCTTTTGTAAGAAAATACTGTCAGCTTTATAGTAGTGTAAGAGTAGGATGTCCAGGTCGTGGTGAAAGACTGGCCAAACAATCTTCTCTCTAAATCTTTCTTCCAAACTTTATGATGTTTTAATACAAATTACTTGCATGGGAGTCAATTTCAGGACAGCAAATAGAATGAAGTTGAACTGGTTGGTATACCAGTTAGCAAGCTTTCTGATGTCCAGAGCTAAAATATATTTCAGTATATGATTTTGAGAACCAATTTGAGTTCTAATTAAGTTAATGGCAGCTTTTAGCTCATATTCATTTGTAAAATTTATATTTTCAGAGCTTTTCAGCACTTGAAATGGTGTATCTTGGTTTGGAGTAGCTTTATATTTTTTAATATAATTTTCGGCTTAATTCTTAATATTGTTCTTGATATTCCTTTTTTTGTTCTTGATATTCCTGATATGATTTAGAAGACCTATATTTAATTCTGTATATTTATGATCATCTATGGAAAACTGAGTAAAGAAATCTTACTCTAATATATTCCTCTGTGTAGTTGACCTTTTAACTTTGCCAGTATGACTTCTATCATTTTAATTATGTGGTTTCATATAGCTAAAGTGTTTAATATGTACCCCCTCAAAAATAGTAGAATTTCTCTCTTTTTACAATGCACTTTATTTTTTTAGAGTAGTTTACATTTTGAGCAAAATTGCATGGGAGGTCCAGAGATTCCCCCTGTGTTCCTTGACCCCACACGTGTACACTTTCCCCCTGTTGATGTCTACCCCAGCATGGTACATGCACTGTGATCACGAACCTGCACTGCCATGTCATTCCGCCATGCCCATGGTTTATGTTAGGGCCCACTCTTGGCAGTGGTCATCCCGTGGGTTTTGACAAATGTATAATGACAGGTCTCTACCATTATAGTCATAATACTGAGAAGCCTATCGGCCCTAAATACAGTAGGTCCTAAAGACCCCCATGTTTTTTCCTCCCATTTTTATATTTCTGCTTTCTGCTATTTGAAAATGCAGATGCATTTATTATTTTTTCTCAAGGGTAGCTTGAACCTGCATATGAATACTTTTTCTAAGGCTTTTGTTGCTAGAACTATTGTCTGAGTTGAGACAAGATGACAAAATAAAAACTGCTGAAAGAACTGTTGTGCCCCCGTGTCATCATTTTGGGCAGCATGTTTACACTGTGAATAGAAATTTGAGCTGTTTTTGTACCTTTGTAAAAATTAGATGCTACCATTAACTTTACCTGCTTAGATACAACATGAACGCTGTGAGTTCACTGTGATTAGTGTGACATTTTGGAACTGTGTACGTTTGTGAGCATGAACATCTTATACTTGGGTGCCTTTTATTATTTTGTCCTCAGGAGCTAAGAGGACATTGCAAATCAGCGGGTTTAAGCAGCCCTGCTCAGCTTCTCTCCTGCTGTGCTGTGTCTGTGCAGCCTTTCCTCAGTATTCTTACCCCATTAACTTCTTTCTCAAAATGCCTAAAGCATTGTAGTTGGTGCCTCTCAGCTTTATGTAAAAGGCGGCTTTATGTATTTCTCTAATTGTGCTCTAGTCTACTAGTCTGAGCTCTTCATATCACAAACCTCTAAGGATGGTGCTGACCATAGCTTTCTTGAACTCACCTAAGAATTAAGCGTAATTCTAGGTTCCTGGTAGGTATGTGATATCAGGTCTCAGTTTCTAGTAGCTTTGCTTCCTTTCTTATCACTGGGCATCTTTTTTCCTTCCCCCTTTTCTTTATCATTCACTTGTTATTCTTCTTCCTCTTTTTTTAAAGCACTGATTCATCGTTTTTCTCAGTCTTCCTTTATTTGCTTTTATTTCTCCATCTTCTTGTTTTATATATAAGTATAAATATGTGCATGATCTCACTAAGCTAAAATGCTAACCTTTATCATAATTTAGACTGTTTTCCTTCAACCATGGTTTGTAGGTTTGTAGAAACAGAATATTTACGGAATGTAGTACGCATACATGCTTTATATTTGTGTATAACGTTATAGATAAAAATGTTTTAACTTAAAACAGTAAAAGGCTATACATTGCCTTGCTAAAATTGAGGAAATGAGAGTCATATGAAGTTACTTGAATTTCTTTTATCAGTACTAACGCTCACTGTTCACAGTTTGTGGGCCTGAGCTTCAAGGTGACTTTCATAGTTTTGAAAGGAGGGTGCTACATGTTTTATATTGAAATAATAGATTATATTGACACAACTGTGCCTCATTATTTGCTTCAAGACTGCTTGATACGCAAAGAAATATTTTGTAATATGTTAGTTACTCAGTATTTGGACCATTTTTCCAAGCATGAAGAGAAAATACTCAATTCAAGTGGCACCCAAATATTAAAATAGTAAACTCAGCTTCAAATAATGACAATTTATTACTAATAAAATGGCTAGGGGCTGGGGGTTTAGCTCAGTGGCACAGCACCTGCCTGGCAAGCGCGAGCTCGTGAGTTCCTGGTACCAGAAAAACAAAAAAAATGGCTAGTCTTAAAAGGAACATCAGTTTTGAATTGAGTATATTAACTTAGCTACTGACTTTTTGAATTGTACATTTCCTAGTACAACCTTTTAAATATAATCTTCTTTAATTTTAGCAAGATGAATATCATATGGTTCATCTAGTATGTTCTTCTCGGACTCCTCCCAGTTCTCCGAAAGCCAGCAGCAGTAAAGAAAACCATGAAGCACTGGCGTCTAGCAGCAGTTCTGTGAGTTGTTTTGGGAGGAGCAAACATTAAAGTTGTCTGATTCTCCTTTTTACCTCTAAAAACTGAAGAGAAAACTGAAAAGTTGGAACTTGTGGATCTGGAGGTTGTTTTGAACAGCTATAAGAAGGGATTTGAATTTTGTTTCAGAGCTCTAATATACAGTGTTATCTTGAAGCCTGTTCACTAGGAGTTACACTGTTTGAAAAAGCAGGTTAGAAATATAGCCAGTCTCCATAGGCTTAATCCCTGAAACAATCAGGAAACAGGATTATGACGTGGATAAATACTGTAGACACTCAGGTCAGAGAAGTTTCAGAAATACTAAGGTATTTAGTAGTATAGTATATTTTATTCAAGATAGATTACATTGTTTAATTTCCAAGTTATCTTAAGTGTTCTTGACATTGATTACTTGATCAAAGGTTTTGTGTTTTTTAAAAAAAAAAAAATCACTGGGTTAGGTCCATACGTTTGACAGCAAGGAAAGACTTATTTAATGTACTTGTCTCTTTTGGACTTGGATGTTTCTTTCACCTTTCCTAGTTTTCCATCTGCCTAAATTTGGTTTGGAAATGTTTTATAAGTTGCATGCTTCAATTTAGACATTTTCTATAAGTTTTGAAGACACTGATCCCAATTATTTTATGTTAAATTTTTTTGACTCCATTAAAGTTTTGTATTACATGGTTGGGGACAGAGGATGTTAAGAGGAAGCTTGTTCTAACTTGTTGGGCAACTAGGGAATTTATATTCTGCTCCATGTGCTTTCCTTGTTGAGAATGTAGTTAAACCTTGAGGGGTTGAGTGGAAGAAGTGATAAATAGTTGAAGTCATTTCCTAGTAGATATTAGTTAACTGTATATTTATTCAGTATGGCCTGACTAAATATACAGTGAACTAATATTCTTCAGTATATTTAGTCAGTATGGTCTCCGTGGTAAGCACAAGCATAGAAATGTAGCTTTCGTTAAACTAAAATATGCCTTGTAGAATACCCAAGGATCTTTACAGGATTTCTAAATGGGCATAAGAAGAAACAAATACTGGCACTGGCCTGGAATTTTGTATGTAGCCTTTGTACACAGTTGCATTGCTTCTGCTTTTCTTAGGCAAGAACCTGTGCCTGAATGGATGTCTCTAGTGATTCCTCAGCAATAATTTTGTGTCGTTAGTATGTGTATGTTTTCAGTGTTGTAAAAACCTAAAAAAGATCAAAGGAAAGTTAAGTTGAATTTCTCTTAAATTTTTCATGGCTTGGAGATTTCAGAGGGATTAGAAAATGTGTTTAAGAAAATCTAATCATGTGTTTTAAAAAATCTGCTCATAAAAATTCTAATAACTAAGGTTGTAAATTCTTAGTTCTAGAGAAATTGGGCTGCGCTGTTGAGTAGCTATAGTCTTTTTGTCTACTAATTATGTCAATGAACACCATATTATGATGTCCTTTTAATGAGAAAGCTTGCCCAAATAGAAGCCTTTCCCAGTTTATTTCCTGAAGAATGAGACCCCTAAGCAGGACATTTAGTATGTACTTTATGTGAAATAACATCTTAAAGCTGTTGTTAATTTTACAAGAGACTTGTGGGCCAGGGACCTTTTCTAGGGTTTAGGAAAGTAGATGTGCAAAAAGAGATCCTTTGAATTGGTAGGCAATGCAGATAAACTGTAATTTTATCAAACTGTGGAGGATGTTACAATAATATTGTATGCAGCTTTTTAAAGTGAGAGAGTGAAATTATATAAAATATAATTATTTTTTAAATTTAAACAAAACACTTGATATTCTTTCTGGCAGCAACGAAATGGGGTGGCCTTCCAAGAATTACATTGTTTAAAATTATTGAATCCATGAATTACTGACCTCATGTGAGCATGAGAATTAAGAAATCCTGATGGATATCTTGTTTATTTTGTAAAAAAAAGAAACAAACAAAAAAGCAATATTTGTAATGGTACCTAAAACACTATTAGAATTTTAGAATTGAAAGGAATCTTGAAGATCTAGTTCAATTTCATTTTCTCTAAGAAAGCAGAGACTCTGAGAGGTTAAGTGAATTGTTACGATCTTTGTTAATGTCAAAGATAACATGACAGTCTAGATCTTCCGATTCTAAGTATGTTTCTTTTGTTAAACCAGTATGTTAGCAATAGCATGTTATGTAGTACCTAGTGCATCAGAACTGTTTAAATAACTAAGTAGTAACATTTACTGAGCACTTTCTGTAAGGCATGATGAAAGGAGCTTTGCATGCATTGATTGAATCCACACAATTTAGTGTGAAGTTTGTATATGTTGTTATTCTGTTATTCAGCTTTGTCTCATTGATAAATGTGATATTATTGTTTAAGCAGTTTTGCCTTCCTGATCTTTTAAATCCTGTTAAAGTTAAAATAGCTATTATGTTGGATATAAGATCCAAATCAGTAAATGTGTCAAATTCAGTTATTTTACAGAGGGATTTCATGAATACATTTTTAGTATGTCTGTAATCTCGTGATTGCAATGAATTAAATCTCCTTGAAAAAGTAATTACATTTTGTTTGTAGAGTTCAGATCATTCAGGATCAACAACTCCATCGTCCAGCCAAGAAACATTATCCTTAGCTGCTGGTGCTTCCTCAGAAGGATTGAGGCAGCGCGCCCTTCCACAGGCACACACCAACCCAGCACAGAGTCATCAGTTTCCATATGTAATGCAAGGGTAGGTGCTGTTACCTTACTTGTGGGTCATGACTGGGGTCCCTAAAAATCCATTACTTTTGATTTTTATTGTACCTCTTTGCAATAATTAAAGTGCACTTGAAATTTATTCATGCATCTGCTTTATGGTTTGAGAACTAGAGTGCGGAGTAGAACAGCGCTTTTGAAAGCCGGCTGTGCATCTGGATTGTCTTCAGAGCATACTTTTCAGTCTTTAATGTCCCTGCTAATCACTGGGGATCTTGTAAAGATGAAGATTCTGCTTCAGTAGGTCTGATGGGGCCTGAGATTCCTCATTTCTAACAAATGTGCAGCTGATGCTGATGCTTCTGATGCTTGGACTACACTTTGTGTTTTTTTGGTTTTTTTTTTGTACCGGGAATCGAACTCAGGACCTTGCACTTGCCAGGCAAGCGCTTGTGCCGCTGAGCTATATCCCCGGCCATTGGACCACACTTTGAATAGCAAGCATGTATGTAACTAAAGGCTTTTTCTCCCCGCTGATTCAGTTTCACTAGAGAGCTACTTAGTACAGTCTTCAGGAGAGCTGGTAGGTGAGGGGGCATGTACTTGCAGTCTGTTTTTAAAAAGCTCTGCAGGTATTTCTGATCAACCAGGTTTAACCAGGTGTATTAGTTATACCTGACACTGGCAGCTTAAGGGTTGAGAGGCTTATTGTGGCCCACAGTTTCAGAGGTCTCAGGCCATGCATGGTCAGTTGGCTCCAAGTTAGAAATGGCAAGGTGGAAGGAGGGCCTAGCAAAGGAAAGCCCTTCAGCCCATGGCACCCAAGAAGTAGAAAGAGAAAGCAGGAGTCCTGCATATCCACAGTCCGCAGTGACCACCTTCAAGTGGGCCCTACCTCCAAACAGGAGACTTTGGGGGAACATTTTAGATTACAGTGAAAACACTAAGTAACAACTAAGTTAAAGTAAAACCATGTTGGGTTACAAGGATGTGGCACCATTGCTGTGTATCTGGAATCTCTGTTACACTGAGAGTTTCTGTGGAAGAGGTTGCCTCGGAAGCTTGCTGTGGTTGCCTTCTGCTCAGCGGTTACCTCTGGCCTCTTGAATTAGGCACTGGGAAGTATAGCCAACAGCTGCACCACACCATTCAGACAGTCTGCCCAGTATGGTCTTGATGAATGTGGTTTGGGCCTGACTTGTGTCTGAAAGCAGAGCACCTTGTGGGATATATATTTTTTTTTAGTCTTTGAAATAAAGGAAATAGTTACAGGTAGTGGTACTCGTTCTGCACTGCACGTCTAGCTGGGTGGCTGCATGGGCTGGGGTCCAGGTCTGAGATGGCAACCTGGAGATGAAGGAAGGGCGAAGACCCCACGGGGCTGATGTCCTGCAGGGGCTTGGGAGCAGCTACCAACTGCTGTGCCGAGGAGGAGCGTGTAAGCACTCAGGTACTTTTTACTTAGTATTTTCATCTGAACTCATGTCTTACTATAGGAAACCAAAGCTGAATATATAGAAGAATATCTTGACTGTGACGCCTTTCCTACCAAAATAAGTGTTTAGATGATGCTGGCTGTAGGTTTCATAAAGCATCTATGAAACAATTTAGTTATTTGTAAGAAAGCAATGTTTTCAGAGTTTACATTACAGAACAGAAGCTTAAAATACTTTGTCTTGTGAATTTGATCATTTCCTTTCTTTCTTGGAGAGCAGGCAGTGGAGTGATTTCAGTTATTTTATTTGGGGTAGTGGTGGAGGTGGGAGTATTACAGATAAGCCTAGGAAGATGTGTACATGGTGGGTGTCTCTGGATGAGAAGATTTTCAGATCTATCTCATACAGTGATTGCATTTGTAATAAAAAATACATCTTGTAAGATTTTAGGTCTTCAGAATAAGACTATAAGTATTGTAAGAAACTTAAATTGCTGAGGAAATCAATAAACATGAGAGAAAGACATTCAGCTCTTAGAAGAATATCAGATGGATTAGAAAAACCTGAAATAATGTTTTTTGCCAACAGCAAGTGTTAAAATGATGAGCAACAAAAGTCATGAAAGACATTTGAGGTTCATGTAGGGGCCCTCACTGGATGAGTAGTATTTGGTGTCTGATGAGGGTGACAGTGTCGCTTAGTGATCACACAGATCCTGGAGCCAGCCTGCCTGGGTCCTCGCTTGGGCAAGTCTCTTTCTGACTACTTCAGTTTGCTCATTATCTGGGGGATAGTAGTACTTGTCTTACAGGATTTCAGTGTGGATGGAAAGAATGTATGTAGAGTGTCGCATAGCGGTGTGGCAGTCATTACTTATACATTCATTCATTCTTCTAAGTGAACGTTGTATCTTCACTCTGCAAACACTGTGTAGGCATTTAGGTGCTTTGTACACTGAGATGTTCAAAGGAATGAATGCCAGTATGAGGGGTTGGAAAATAAGATAGTTTTGGAGAGTGTGCTTTTTATGATTTACAAAGTAGTTGGTGAGAAATTTTTAATAAATAGGCTGTTTAGTTTAACAGTGAATATGTTGTAATTTAATCTCACTTGTCACTTGTACTAGTGAAGCCTTTCTGTCTGTCTTTAGGTAGATTTTACTTAACATAGTCCTAGCCATAAAGGCGCCTGAGCAGTAATTTAGCAACCTTGAAACATTCACCATCAAAATAAAAGCGCTGTTCTCCCTTTTCAAACTTTAGTACAGCTTATACTTTACCAGTTTGTGTAGGGAAACACAAGCAGAGCACAGCACAGCAGGACATGCACTGCGCGTCACCTTACTAGCTGTGCACTTTCAGAGTAACACTTACAAATTCTGTTTTTGGACTTATTCTGTTTGCCATCACATTCATTTATCTTAACTCCAAAAGTTGCTGCCTAATTTATGAAATATCCTTTTTTTTTTTTTTTTTTTTTTGGTACTGGGAATTGAACCCAGGGCCTCACACTTGCCAGGCAGGCTCTGTGCCACTGAGCTACACATCCCCAGCCCCTCTAGTGTTATATATTCAGTTTTTCTCCTTGAAAGTGTCAGCGTTGTTTTATAATAAATCTGAAAACTACATATTGCACCCTCCTATCATGTCTGACTTTTTGAAGTAAATATTACAGCCCACCAACTTAGAAAGAACTCTTACTTTATTTTCCTTTGACAGTCCTGGGGATTAAACGCAGGACTCAGGTACTCACATGCTAGACAAGTGTTCCCCCACTCAGCTACATCTCTTTTTATTTACTTGACCCTTTTTAATTAATTTTATTTACTTTTCTTTTTTTTATTAAACAGGGTTTTGCAAAATTGCCTAGGCTAGCCTCAGTCTCAGAATCCTCCTGCCTCATCCTCTCACCTTACCCTGAGTAGCTGGGGTTATAGGCCTGTGCCACCATATCCAACTTTACTGACATTTTCGTAAATGCTCCAGGACTCAGGCAGCTTGTAATGTCAGCTGTAGGGAGGAGGACATGAAACCTGAGAAATATGTGCCTGACAAATATGTGCCTGACCTGTGAAAACACCCAGAACTGACACACTTGGTTTTTGCTCCTTTTCACCACAGCCAGCTGGCTGCAAGTGGGCTGGGAAATGTAGTCACCAGATCCTTGTTGCTGGGAGATGTGGGCCTTCTCAGGCAGAGAGGCAGTGAGGAGCAGAGACGTCTCAGATACTTTGCTATGTATGCCTTTTCAATAGAAACGTTCTTTTAATTCTGTGTTATAAGCCCCCTTTAAAAAAAAAAAAAACATAACTTGGACATATTTTCAGATCAAATATAAATCCACAGCATTTAAACTTTGTACTTTTTTCTTTGTCCACTTTTATTGCTAGTGTATTAGGAGGCTTTGCTGTGTAATGACTTCACGATCTCCACGACCTCCGACAGCGCACTGTACTTTCCTTGCTTGCCATCCTGTCAGCCAGCCACCCAGGACAGCTGTACTTTAGGCTGTAGACCAGGTCAGGACTGCTTCCTGTTTCTCCTCTGAGGATCAGAGAGAGGCCATGTTCTTCTTGTGGTAAATGGCAGAAACACAAGGGGGCAGGCTAACCCTGAGCACTTTCAAGCCTTGTGTGTGTCCCATTTACTGACAGTCTTTGGCCAAGCCAAGTCCTGCAGTCACAGCTGCATTGGGGCGGGAGATACTGCAAATGTACGTGCAGGCCTGTGCTAGAAAATGCTGAACAGCTGGCTTTTCTAGGGGGAAGATAAAGGCTTGGAGTCGTTGATTTCTGTGGTATAAATGTTCCCACCGTGGCCAATTTCAAGATGCCAAGATTGGCTCCCACAAGTCTTGAGCTGGTGGCAGTCTGTGTGCGCCAGTGCCTGCTGGCTTTGCTACCAGGTGGCAGGAAGGTGTGCGGTGTGTGGTCCTGTGGTAGAGGAGTAACAGTCTTCCACCCTAAACCTTTGGGTGATTTTTTTCCCCATCTAACCTTACTGTAATCAACGTTGTCGCATATGTTTACCTTTTAGCAGTTATTGTCTTAGGACAGACGATGGAAAAACAGTTCCCAAGTCAAAGAGTACATACAATTTTTTGAGGCACTTAAGACTTGTAAAATTACAGTAAAGAACGGTAGTAACAGCTTACTCTGCTAGTAGTCACTGCTAAAGGACTTGTATTTGTATGCATACTTCACTTGCCAGTGTGAGAAATCAGATCGTCCTTGTTCCAGTCGGAAACATGATAAAGGGGCATTTTTTTTGTTTTGTGAATTACATATTTGTTATTATGTTAGTTTATTTAAAGGTTTGTGAGTTCTTTATTTAAAAGCACAGAGTCTGGTCAGAGGCAGGAAAATAAGCAGGCCGTTTCCTGTTTTAGCTGTTTCCTAAGAGAGAACATACAGGCATGGTGCCTTTTGTAACATGAGCAGAAGAGTTCACAAGGATTTCTTCACTCTGTCTCTCAGCTGTCCAGCTGCCCTCCTCAGAGGCAGTCATTTTTAGCTGTTTCCCCAGTGGTATTCTGAGGACAAAATGTACCTGCACATGTGTGTGGGAGTGTTGTATGTATTTGTATTTTAACACAAACAATAGCATAGTTTTAGGCATAGTAGATTGTATCTTATGTTTTCAGTAACCAGACAGATTGTCCTATGTTAATACAAAAGAGCAGACCCCTCCTGCGTCAGTTTCCGAGTACCCCCTATGTAAGTTACATACTTGATGGACTAGTGTAGTGCTGTATATTACAGTTAAGCAGTCAGGATTTTTATTTAGTACTTTTTTAAATGTAAAGACTTTATGATACTTTTTAAACATCCGTGAAGAACATAAAATGTAAATGTCAGTATATCTAACACCCAGCGTCAACAACTATTAATAGCCTACCATTTTTAATCTATTTTCTCTTCATCTCTTGTATTTCTTGGGCTGCAGTTAAACCTAAACATTTTCTTTTATCTGTAAAACAGATGTCAGGTACAGACTTTAAAATACCTTAATCATAATAAGATTAGAACAACAAAATTAAAAATTCTTTATAGTTGTCTAATACCAGCTTTGTGTTTGTGTTTAGTTTTCCCAGACTGTCAGAAATGTCTTCTCTTTTTTGTACTGGGGATGGAATGCAAGAACTTCACACTAAGCTGTGTTGTCAAGCTTTTTACTGTGAGACAGGGCGTGGCTAAGTAGCTAAATTGCCCTCACTAGGCTCAAACTTGAGATCCTCCCTCAGCATGCCGGAGAGCTGGGATTTCCGGTGTGCCCCATCATACTCAGTGCACTGTCTTTTAATTGTTTTGGTTAAGTCAGTGTTCAGAGATTGATACTATATTTGGTTGATGTTTACTAAAGCTCTTCCAGGCTAATTTCCTTCTCTTTTACTTCATGTACTTTTTATTTGTTGTTTTATGTTGTTTCCCTCACTGCTCTGGGTTCGGCTGTGTCCTCGTGAAGTCCTTTAGCATTCTTGGTCCCCTTATGTCCTGTGTACCGGTAGTTTGATCTAGGATGTCATTAAATTCAGCTACAGTTCAGCTTGTTCTTTTTCCATAAAGAATTGTCCACAGGTAGTCTGTCCTTGCTGCACATCAGAGGCATGTGAAGTGTGGCGGTGTCACCTCTGGTCATGTTAGGACATTCACTGTGTCCAGGTGTCACCAGGCTGGTCCAGGGTCATAAAGCGTTTGGTCATCCTTCCAGTAGTCTTCGGCGACCACTGAGCAGATCCACTGTTTCATCAGTTGTTGCAGTGTACTAGTTTCCTTCATCTTATCGTTCCACCTCCTGTTTATTAGCTATGCTTCCTGATGAGGAATTTTTTCTCATCATTTTGTTATTCTAAAAATACTCAAGGAAAGCCTGGGAAATTCAGTCTTTACCTTTATCAGTTTTCAGAGTCATAAATCAGCCCTTTGGTAACCTCCAAAGATGACGAATGAGTTTTCTTGTTTTGCTTTTTGAAAGTATGTGTGTGAACATCCAGTTTCTACTGTATTTGTGCTTCAGGCTACAGATTAGCTGCTGCATGAATGTAGTCATTCTCGGTGATACTCATTATTTTCCTGTCTCTGGCTTGTGGGAGAATCATTAGTTTGTCCAGCAGGGTTCTTTTGACACAATTTTAGTTAACTTTGTTAACATCTTAGACTCATACGTGACAGATTGTCCCAGACTCATGTAGACTCTGTTCCTGGGGAACCTTCATGGGAAATAGCATTTGAAGACCATGATGCTGACCATGCATGGTGGCACATGCATGTAAGTAATCCTAGCAGTCTAGAGGCTGAGGCAGCATTGTGAGTTCAAGGCTAATCTGAATTACAGAGCAAGATTGTATCTGAAAACAGACAAGCAAGCAAGCAAACAGTAAGGCAAAAATCCCCATAAAAACAGAATGGTCTGGGCCCAGGAAGCTCTCATTGCTACCCAGTTGTCAGAGATAAATACTACTGGTCTTTTAGAAAAAGGGAAGAATCGTGAGTTTATATTGATATTTCAAATTCAGGTTAAAGATTGAAGGGTTTATAGCCTCTCATTTGATTTGTGTATTTGTATGTCTTTTAGGCTGAAAATCTTGGTTCCTAATGAATTACTTTAATTATGTATTACTCTATATCTATATGTTAAATTTTCAAATAATTTCAGAAAAGTACTATTTGCATTCTTACAAGCTCATTGAATATGTTTCAAAATTTTGTGGTTCTTTTTTGTCTTTAGGATTTATCCTAGTAGGAATGTGTAGTTAAAAATACTGTGTTTGGAGTTTGGTAGAATAATTCTATATGTGGCTGTGCTCTCAAACTTGATACAGAAGTTTCTTTGTTTCAATTTTTTTCCTTTTTTTTAGCTTGCTATTTTCTTCCACCACCTCCTTTTTCTTTCTCCCTCCCGATCTTTTTTTCTGACACTAAGGATGGAACCCAGGGTTTTACACAGGCTAGGCAAGTGGCCCACTACTGAGTTACTTCCTCAGTCCTTCGTAAAGAAAGAAAAGTTTTTTTTGGTGATGGAGTCTCACTGTGCTGCCCAGACTGGTCTCAAATATGTGATCCTGCTGCCTCAGCCCTCTCAGCAGCTGGGACTATAGGCGTGTATCACCATGCTTACTTTTTTTTTTTTTTTATTTAGCTTTTTTCTTAATTGCAGAAGACATTGTTATAGTTCCAGTGTCAAAACTTGTGTTCAGATGCCCATTTTCATTATACTCCTTTCCCAGTTTTCTCACTGACTAGAATATTTCGTTGTTAGTGTTTTATTATGTTAATTATTTTTTAGTTTTATCTTTTCATTGTTTCTTTGTGGAAAATGAAAGTATATGTTTGTGTACATATGGACATTTACATATATATGCACACAAACATGTAAATATATCCTCATTGTTACATAAAAGGTAGCATGTTATTCCTATTTTTTGCATATTGCTTTTTAACAAAATATCACTTAAATATTCAGGATGTCACTCCGAAAAAGTAGAGAGTGTCATTTTTTTATAGCTGCATGCTAATTCACTGGGTATATAAACTATATCATCTAATCTCCTGTTGGCAAATATTTGAATTATTTCCTATCCTTATCATAATTAGTGCCAGGATGAATAGCTTTGTGTGTACACCCTTTCATGTTTTTATCACATTTTTACTATTTTATATTCAAGACAGATTGCTGGAAGAAGGGATGGGTCAGAGTAGATAGGTTAGAGAGCATATTCCTTCAGAGAGGAATTAAAAACAGGCAGGTTCAACATGGGGTGAGTGCAGTGATAAGGTTCTAAGTGTTTTTAATTAATGATCTATTGTATCTGGCCCTAGTTCTCTCTGTAATAGGAGGAACGGGGTCGGGGGAGTACGTTTCCTGAGCGATTCTTTAGAGGGATAATTGCACACAAAGGGCAGAGATGTGAAGAGTTTTCCATGTTTCATATACCTGTAAGCTAATTCCAGAAGCAAAATTACTTGGGCAGTTAACTGGGCAGAAGAGAATGTTGTCTAAAGGTCCTTATTGTGTAAAATTGTTGTTTAAAGGCTTATTCTAGTTTTTACTGCCACTAGCAGTGAAAGACTTAGATTTTACTTGTACCCTTTGCCAATATTGTATTTTTATTTAGTCTTTTATAATTTGGTAAAGGATAAAAAGCTGTCTTTGCTGTAATTTGCATTTGGTGTCCTAATTGTTGTTTCTGTTTTATGAGCTCTTTATATACAAAAGGTATTAATGTCTGTTGCAGTTTTTTCTGAGCACTGTCTCTAAGTTTTGTAACTCTGATTGCTTTTTTTTTTTTTATGTTAGGGATGGAACCCAGGGCCTTGCCATGGTAGCCAAGTGTTCCACCACCGAGCCACACTCCCAGCCTCTTGTCTCTAAGTTTTGATATCAAATATGTTGATTGCATTTTTCTGCTTTTTTCTATTGTTTAAAAGTTAGGAAAGTCCTTCTCCCTCCCAAATCTCTTGGTGAGCTCTCACTTTCCAAGCACTTCTAAATTACCACCAAGTGTGTATGTGACTGATTTTCAAGGCATAAAATTGCAGTTCATGAATTTATTCACCCAGTCGACCAAACTAGTATTATCCTAAGTAAAATTTAAGTAATAAGAAGAAAAGGAGAGTTACTAGCAAATGCATAAATTCTGCAATTACTTGTGTATCGATAACCTGTAGTTGGGCTGATGTCCGTGAGTCCTCCAGATCTTGCCATGGTACCCTCTGGATTCGTGTTCTGAGTAAGGGGCTAGGAGGGAAAAAAAAAGCCAGCTAACAGTTTCTGAACCCAGAGTAACAACCCCCCAAGGAAGAGTCTGTCATTAGCCCCATTTTAGAGATGGGGAAATGGAGGCATTAGGAATACAATGTGATCTTCCACAAGTTTTACTGAATTAATAGAATTTCAGCCTACTTTAAAAATATATGTGTAAAAACATTTTGCTATTTATGTAGTTGCTGTAATTTTTTAAATTTTATGACTAATGCCTATATTTTTAATGGTATTTTATTACTAATACTATATAAAATAATATTGGCTAGTTCTGTTCCTTAGAACATTTTATCATGAGGTTTATGTTAGCGCTTTGGTTCACAAAAATTTATTTAAAATGAAAGCAGTTTTGGCTTTTTGTGCTGACATGAGAAGATAACAAATGTTTGAGCTTGTCACACGTTTTGTGGGTGACTTGGACTCAGGGTCAACTTATATAAGATGTGTTTTATTTTTTAAAAATTGAATATTTTTCTTTCCTGTGAGATTTAAAAACATTTTGTGAACGACTGAGTTTTACTTCAGTAATAAAAAGCTGGATATATGCTTGCAACTTCTGAAGCGTTACCGGACCTCATTTCCTTCCTTCTCCTCCGCAGGAACGTGGAGCAGCAGTCCCCCGGGCAGGCCGCGGCGCCCGTGCCCGCGTACCCAGCGCTCAGCCCGCTGCAGATGCTGTGGTGGCAGCAGGTGTACGCCCACCAGTATTACCTGCAATAGTGAGTGCTGCTCCACCTGGGCTCCGCTTCCTCTGCTGGGATTGAGTTTATTTTCAGTTTCAGCTCAAATAACTTGATTTGGGATTTCATTGGCGAATATATTTAATTAGTTACTTAAAATTATTATGAGAAAGAATTCTCAAACATCTCAGCAGCTAACACAATTTTAAATTACTGGGCTGAAGGAGAAGGGGCTCGCCTCTGTTCATGTCGGTTAGACCTGCTCCTTGCTCCTCCCTTGCATCCCCCGTGACATTCGCGGCATTCAGATGCTTTCTTTAATAATTACATTTTATAAGCTGAAGGGAAGATGGAGTGTTCCACTAGAGGGCAGCACACCTGCGGCAGGGAGATAGAAGTCAGGCAGGGAGTAGGCAGGGTGGCGTCAGGCGGCCGTACCTTGTGTAGGGCAGGGGTGCAGCGTGCTTCCTGCATCAGCCTCAGTGCTGAGTGGACCACCCAGCCCTGGCTTCCGTTCTTGAATGTCTCCCTCATGTCTGTGGTTCTGTTTCCTGCTCCTTTTCCCCTCGTGAGGCTTTTTCGTCTTTTGGTAGCCATTTTCCCTACTCTTGAATAATTAGCCTTCCTCACACAGTGTGACAGAAGTTTGTGTGCTCACTGTGTGCCTGTGGCATGCGGGGTCAGCAGGGGAGAAGACAGGACTCAGTCCTGGGCCAGGCCGCCTGGGTTTCTGACTTCCATGGCCTTAGTTGCTGCTCCATGTGGATCCCTCCTGGTCTTTACCTCCTGAGCTTCATCCTGTGTCCCTGCTTTGTTGGTGGAAGTTTCCCTAGGGAAGTTAGCGGTTACCCCAAATTCAGTGTGTGTGAAACTGGGCTCTGTCACTCTCCGAAGCACTGTCTCTGTTCTTAGTTCTCATGCAAGCTTGACCTTAAGTAGCCTTGACCTTAAATGGCTTCTGGCCTCACTCTCAGGGCCCAGTAACTCCTCAAGATGAGATGTGGAGCTTCTGTCCTTCCTCTGAATTCTACTTCCAGAATTTTACCTATATTGTTTCTCATTTTGAATCTACTTTAATAGCTCTTTCTCCTTGTAGGCTCTTTACAGTATTTCTCACCCCACTGCCAGGTTAGCTCTCCTAACACATAGTAGGATATCTGCTGGCTCCCTTGCCCACAGTGTGAGGTCTGTGTCCTTAGCGTTCTGCAGTCCTTCCCCATGAGTGTAACCTGTTATGACCCTCATAGCCTAATGCTGTCTCTTACAGACCCTTGACTCCAGATAGGCTGTTTGTACCTTACAGGTTGCCCTGCTAACAGCCACCATTTGTGTGACTACTTAGTGCTCAGTACCGCGAGGGTGCTGTACACCCTTCGTGTCATTTGTAAACCTTATGAGAACTACATGAGATAAGTGACGCTTATTGTAGCTTGCCCCTGAATCGTATACTCTTATGTACATCATTCAACCTCTGAGCCTCATCTTTAAAATATTAACTCATCTGTGTGTCAGAATATCCATGCAGTAGGAAGTTTAGGAAACCAAAAGTGCCAATAGGGGTACAAGATATTAACACACTGGCCTAAATAGGCATTTGTAGCCTGAGAAACACTTATTTAATTTTTATTTGCTATCTTGATTATCAGTCATTTATTGTAGACAAACATAAACATTTAAAAAAATAGAAGAGTACAAAAAAGATCCCTGTGCTCCCATCACCTAGCTGCAGCATTTATGAGATCATGTCCCTCTCATTCTACAGCTTTCCCCTTTCTGCTGGATGATTCAGAAGTGAATCTTATATTATCTGTGTTATCATCCTACTGGGGAACCTGTTTCCGGAAAATTCATTCTGACTTTTAAGAGATGACATTACAAACACACTTTAGGACCACAGTTCCTCTAGATTTGGCAAGAACCAGTGATTCCTGGATAGAGCTCACAAAAATCAGGATTAGGGTTGAAGGGTTGTTGTCTCAGATGTGTTTAGTATTTTCAAATACTAGCACAAATCATTTATCACTAATACTAGATACAGTGGATAATTATTAATACATTTTTTAATACAAATCTTTCAAAACATTTGGGTCTGAGGAAGAGTTGGTGGGCTGGAAGATATTCACCCTATGTAGAATAACAAAAGGGGGGGTCAGCGGTGGAAGATCTAGACACACTCGCCACGTGCTTCTGTGGAGTGTAAGAGAGGGCAGAGTGGCGACCCAGCTGTTCCTGTCTCGCCCACCTCCCTCACTGGCCTAGCTCACCCCGCTGAGAGCGCTTTCTCCCGAGCTACACATTGCCAGACTGGGCTCTGCCCTTCCACTGGAATTTGTGCATGCCTAAGAAACATGGTGTGGGAGTTTTGACTTTTCACTTTAGGTGCATGAAAAATACCTGACTCCCTAGGAAGTGTTAACAAATCCTTTATATGATAAAGTTTTTTTCTTCTTTGGTGACAATTTCAGTCAAGCTGCAGTCTCAGCACAGGCGACGTTGGGTGCCAGCGCAGTCCAGCCTCCCGCATCCCAGCCTTTAAATCTGGCCCGTGTTCCCGGAGAGGAGCCCCCACCAGCCCCAAACCTGGAAAACCGAGCCGTGAATGAGAATGTTCCCATGAACGCCCAGGGGGGTCCCGCGCTCAATGAGGACGACGTCAACCGTGACTGGCTGGACTGGGTGTACACGTTCTCCCGGGCCGCCATCCTCCTCAGCATCGTGTACTTCTACTCCTCCTTCAGCCGTTTTGTCATGGTGATGGGAGCCATGCTGCTGGTGTATCTGTGAGTGAGGTTTGCTTACTTCCTGTGGTCGCCTTTATGACTCTGAGAAGGTCACGCACAGGGTCTGGTGCGCTGTGAGTGCTGAGGGAAGGATCTGATTCTAGAAGCAGTGCAGGCTGTGTTGAAAAAGAGTTTGTCAGAATTGTTCAGAGGCAGGGTTTTTGTTTAGTGTGTTTTATAAAAACGATTAATTCAATGAGACATGTTTTTTCAGTTATTTAGAACTTGAAGAAATATTCAGTGTACTCCTGCATAAGAATGTCCTTTTTAATGATAGTTGCTGTTAGTAATTAGGTCATACAGATACAAGTTGTACTTTTTTCATAAGACAGATTCTTGTCTTGCCTTACCTTCTTTCCAAGGACAGAAGTGGTCTAATGATGTTTTTGTTAAAAAAAAAAAAAATCTTGTGACTCCTGATGTCTTAATAGCTAACATAGAGCCGGTTAAGTCCATTGTAGACTTGTAGATTTGCATTGGCTTTTGTTTTCCTGTCATTGCTTTGAGGAAGGTGGTTTGTTTTTCTCTTATAGGACACTAATGTTTTATAGCGCTAAAATGAAAAAGTCACAACTTGTCTTCTTTTCCTGAACAGACATCAAGCTGGATGGTTTCCCTTTAGGCAAGAAGGAGATCAGCAGCGGGCTCCCAACAACAACATAGAAATTAACCACGACGGGCAACATGCAAACAATGTAGAACTTGAAGAAATGGTATGTTACTGAAGGTTTTGTAGACGTCAAAAAATAAAGAGTTTTCCTTAGCACTGTACGGGACTAGCAAGATGAAAAGAGTGTTGGATGTTGTCAGTTGTGTTGGCTTCCACTGGGAGAACTTAGACTATAGTACTGGATAATATTTAATTAAGTGGAGAAGGATTAACATTCTTTATTAAAACAACCCAGAAAGAAAGTTATGCACACGGTTTTTATTGTATTAGATTAGCAGTTTCCACATTTAAAAGGGAATGTCCAGTTTTGGATTTCACAAAGGTTTGTAGTGACCATACATCTGTCACTCACTAGATGCTCTATTCCTACTTTTCGCAAAGAAGAACTTAGCTGTCTCCTTGTCCGCTGTGGATTGACGTTGGTGGTGCAGCGCGCTCAGGAGTATGTTTCTTGTTTTGTTTGAAAGGAACGCATTATGGACGATGGGCTCGAAGATGAGAGTGGAGAAGACGCAGGGGAAGACACCAGCATGGTCCAAAGGCCTGGACTGATGGCTTCGGCTTGGTCTTTTGTCAGCACCTTCTTCACTTCTCTAATACCAGAGGGACCTCCCCCGGTTGCCAATTAGACCTAGAAACTGTGCCAGCTGTAAAGAGGCTCTGATTTTTAGGAAAGTGGTTTAAATAACAGTGCAATTTCAAAAAAAATTTATAACTTTCTTTTGATCATGATGTACAGAGGTGTCCTATTCTTTAAGCTTCTCATGCATATGAGTGTTTTAAGCACAAATGGACTACTAAATGTGTGATTTTTTTTTTTTTTTTTTAGGATCCTAACAGAACATAGCATAACGGCATTTGTCTTCCAGGTTGTATTCATTTCAGTTACGTAAAGGATACCAAGACAGACCTATCTGTGCGTGTCTTATTTCTTTAAAGAGCTGCTTCACCTATAAATGTCTATAGCTAGTAGCCCAGCCCTTTAATGTGTAATTTGAATAAATATATCTATTTTCTGTGAATTATCCTGAAAGTTTTAAACAGAATGACCTCATAGTTTTTAATAAAGAATATTATTTACCTAAAATGTGCTAGTAGCATCTTGCCCAGCCATAAAGCAATAAACTTCTCAATAATCTTAATTTTGACAATTTAATAAATGGTGGATACTTTCCATTTTAAGGGCATGTATCGCATCAGTTGGAATTAATATCTTAACAGGAAAAAAGGCAGCTCTTCGGTGGAGATAACATGACACAAAATGTTTGATATAGGCAGTACTTTTATAAAATATGCTGGAAATTGCTCCCTGTAATTTTTTAAATAAAAAATCAGTTATGAATTATGGTAAACAGTCTTACGGGATATTTGCTCAAACTCTTTAATAATGGTACCTATTTACATGCAAAAATCTATGTAAATTTCAGTCTTTTTTTTTTTCCTTTTTGAGATAGGTTCTCAGCTGTGTAGTTCAGATTGGCCTTAGATTCACTGTGTAGCCCAGGCTGGCTTCGAACTCGAGGTGAACTTCTTGCCTCAGCCTCCTGAGTGCTGGGATTATAGGCGTGCACCACTATGTTTGGCCTCATGTTTGGCAGTCATTGTTTAGAAGGTTGCTGGTCTTCAAGGTCATTTTCACCTCCTTCCCTCCCTGGTGGTATCCCTTAGTTCATAGGAATCTCCACATCAGAGTTTTAGGGTGAAAACTCTGGATCCTGGCAGGCCGGGGTGATGGTAGTGGTTGGTAGTGGTATCCAAAAGACCAGGTTGGGCCACCTGCTCCAAAACTCCGGTCAGGGCTGGAGCGCAGGCAGGGAGCTTTAATCAGTATGGCCACACTAGGAAGAATAGTTAAAGGGTGGTTTTTTTTGTTTTGTTTTGTTTTTTTCCTTTTTTCTTTTTGAGACAGAGTCTCGCTATGCAGTCCAGGCAGGCCTTGAACTTACTTATGTAGCCTAGGCTGGTCTCAAACTCATAACGATCCTCCTGCATCAGCCTCCCGAGTGCTGGGATTGCCCAGCTTTTTCTTTTTTTTTTTTGTTTGTTTTTTTCAGTTAAAGGGGTTTGAGACTTGTTTTGGAGGAGATGCAGAAGTTTTGGTTTTATAGGAAAGCCGAAGAAAAGCAAAGGCAGGGGTTTGCACTGTTCATCAAGTTGCGTAACTGAGAACTAGTTCTGTGAGGCTTTGTGACAGCCATCATTGTTTGAGGGGGACAGTTTGTTTCCCATCATGGGTAATTGTTCTGCCTTAAGGGAGGTCAGCCTTAATTTCTACTGTGAGAGAGTTGCTTCTGCAGGGCTTCTCCCTTCTGGGGCTCCCTGTTGCTTAGAGTAGTTTTGGTCTGTAGTAAAGGTATCTGTGATCAACCTGCCATTCCTGGAATGAAAGGGGTCTAGGAGAGCTGCTCATAAGGGAAAGTTAGAGACACAAGGAGCCTGAGAATAGTGCAGCGTGGTGAGGGCAGTGACGGCCTCCTTCAGTCTGCTGCCTTGGTAGTCTATTAAAAAACCCTGGGAAAAGCCAGTCCATATTTCAGAGGAAACAAGATTCTTAAAGGGTAGCAAACTAAATAGAACAAAGTTGGATGGTGGGGCTTTATGTCACATGAAATGCATTATAAAATTATTAATGGGCTGGCATAGGATATGTGATTAGGTAACAGAACAGTAGAGGATGAAGAAAACATTCATGAGTTTTTCTCGGAGTTGTTTACTTAGAATGATAAAGGTGACATTTTGGCATCACTGGCTAACCCTTTGGAGAGAAAAATTAGATTTCTACTTTCATGTGTCTGTCAAGACATCATGTCTGAGCAATCAAACCATAGAAATACAAATAGACAATATAGATGAGGACTTGTATAATATTGGATGAGACTCTACTTTTATGGCACAATCCCCAAAAGAAAAGATTGCTACATGTTTAATATTTTGACATTTATAATTTAAAGGCAAACAGGAAAAAGACAAAAGATAATAATGAAGTCCTACATTCAGTCCAGTGGAAAAAACTGGGGTCCAGTATAAAAAGGAAGAAAACACTTTAATAAGAAATGGGAAATAAAATGGGGAGAAAAGAAGTTCCATAGTATGTAGAAGTTAAAATTAGGAAATTGGTGAAGTGATACTCATTGTTGTTGTAGCTACAGGGGGATGTAAAATAATACACAGTCTTTGCAGCAAGTACAGAATCATTCTGTGTCACCCTGTGGTCCTCAGATCAAAGACTGATTAACATGGTTCACAAAGTCCGGGAAGGCCTGGCCCTTGTCTCTGGTAGCTCTGAGCAATCTCTCTTGCCCTCTGATTAGCGAGGCTGATCTTCCAGTTCCAGCAATCCTTCCAGCATAAGGGTCCATCCGCCTGTCCATCCATCCATCCATCCATCCATCCGTCCATCCATCCATCCCTATCTATCTGTCTATATCTATCTTA